CTGTATACTGTCACCTTGCTTATTTAACTTATATGCAGAGTACATCATGTGAGATGCCGGGCCTGACGAAACACAAACTGGAATCAAGATTGCCAGGAGAAATATCAATAACCTCAGATATGCAGATGACACTGCCCTTACGGCAGAAAGTGAAGAGGAACTAAATAGCCTTTTGATGAAAATGGAAGAAGAGAGTGAAAGGGTAGGCTTAAAACTCAACATTCAAAAAACTAAGATCATGGCATCTGGTCCCATCACTTCATGTCAAATAGATGGGGAAACAATGGAAACAGTGAGATACTTTATTTTGGGGGGCTCCAAAATCACTGCAGATGGTGACTGCAGCCATAAAATTAAAAGATGCTTGTTCCTTAGAAGAAAAGTTATAACCAACCTAGACAGCATATTAAAAAGCAGAGACATTACTTTGCCAGTGAAGGTCTGTCTAGTCAAAGCTATGGTTTTTCCAGTAGTCAGGTATGGATGTGAGAGCTGGACTAGAAAGAAAGCTGAGTGCCGAAGAATTGATGCTTTTGAACTGTGGTGTTGGAGAAGACTCTTGAGAGTCCCTTGGACTGCAAGGAGATCAAACCAGTCAATCCTAAAGGAAATCAGTCCTGAATGTTCACTGGAAGGACTGATGCTGAAGCTGAAACTCCAATACTTTGGCCAAATGATGGGAAGAACTGACTCACTGGAAAAGATCCTGATGCTGGGAAAGATTGAAGGTGGGAGGAGAAGGGGATGGCAGAGGATGAGATGGTTTGATTGCATCACCGACTCTATGGACATGAATTTGAGCAAACTCCGGGAGTTGGTGATGGACAGGGAAGCCTGGCATACTGCAGTCCATGGGGTCGCAGAGAGTCAGACGTGGCTGAGGTACTGAACTGAACTGATACCTAAGAGTATGCAAAAGTAGCTGGACAAAGAAGTACCTAACGAATTGCAACTAAAATTCAATGTTACTAACTGCTATTAAGGTAACATAGAAGGAAGGGGATTCTTACTAAGAAGGAGGGATTTAAAAAGAGATAAAACATGGATACTCAACCTTTAGAATGGTGGAGAAGAGGAGACGTAATAGATGCAGAGAGAACAAGATAAGCAAAGGCATAGAAATGTGAAAATACATGACTCTCATGAGGGACAGCAGATGATCCTATGTCACTGGAGCAGAAGGTATATAGGTGGAGGGTTAGGAGATGAAGAACAAAGGTCCCTGGGTTCTCAGGAAGTCCACTCACCTGGCTTTTCTCAGCTTTTGGGGAGTGTGGGATGGTGGGGCTTCTCTGACAGCTCCGTCAGGATTGAGTCTTAGGTGTGGCCGCTCATTTCCTCCTTCTCCTTGAAGTCTTTCTGTAGTCTCAGCCCACACATCCTTTAACCTCTGCATTTAAAAACCCCTATTCTCTTTCATTTTCCAAGGGACTCTGCTGGTCTGGTCTTTACTAACCTTGTGTCTCTTGCGAAATAGATGGAAGATGAAATGATGTAAGACTTTGTATAAAACACTGGCCCCTCAGGGTTAAAAATCTGAGCCTAGTAAAGCCGGAAAAGACCATGTAGCCTAGCTAGGCTCTGGGGAGCAGGAAAGAGAGAACAAATGGAGAAAACTATGTTTGGCGCATTGTTGGTGCTTAACCAAGATTTGTACAGTAAACAGTTGGTGGTGGTGTCACTTAGGTGCTAAGTTGTGTCCAGCTCTTTGTGATCCCAGGGACTGTAACATGCCAGACCCCTCTGTCCATGGGATTTCCCAGACATGAGTATTGGAGTGGGCTGCTATTTCCCTCTCTAGGGCTCCTCCCAATCCAGGGATCAAACTTGCATCTCCTGCATTGGCAGGTGATTCTTTACCTCCTAATTGCTAGGGAAGCCCCCAAAAATGAATTAGGGAATGGCTTGATAGTCTCTTGAGTATTATGGAGTACCTCAGGTATTGCCACCGGCCTCTGCAAGAACAATTTGTATTAGGGAAAGAGGAAGGAAGGAGGGAAAAGATCCACGTATTCTGGTATTTCCTGGAGTTATGAGTTTCTTATCTGGCAGTTTTCTCTTTTAGGGGAATAAGGGGTGTGTGTGTGTGTGTGTGTGTGTTTGTGTACACACGTGCATGTGTACACATATGTGCACATGATTCACAAAGTGACCCAATATTTATTTTCTTCCACTCATGCCAAGACCTGAAGACCCTGGATTATAAAATCACTTCTTTGCTATGATAACAAGAAAAAAAGTTAAGAGACTCAGGAGAACTCAGTTTTAATTGTTAAACTTATGTGCTTGGCACTTAGGATACCAACAAGACTTGGGTTTAATCTCAAAGGGCATTTAATGTGGAGAGACATAGTATTTTGTGCAAAGGAGATAGTGCTAGAGCACAGGCTGTCCCAGGAAACTCAGAGGAGGGGCTTTTAATAGAGCCCAGGGCCTTGCTACTTATTCCAAGTATAGTTTGACTGCCAGCAGCAGCATCTCCTGAAAAATTGTGAGAAATGCAGACTCTCCAGCTTCAACCCAGACTGACTGAATATGAATCATATGCACATTAATATTTGAGAAGCACTGGTCTAGGGGCAGGGGTGGGATGTGAGAGTGTTCTTAGAGGAAATAAGTTTTGAACTGTTTTAAGCATGAGTAGGGTTAACCAGGGGGCTTCCCAAGTGGCTCAGTGGTAAAGAATCCACCAGCCAAAGCAGGAGATGCGAGTTTGATACCTGGGTCAGGAAGATCCCCTTGAGAAGATGGCAGGCAACCCACTCCAGTATTCTTGCCTGGGAAAGCCAATGGGCAGAGGAGGTGGCAGGCTACAGTCCATGGGATCACAGAGTCAGACAGGACTGAGCGGAAGAGGGAAAGCCTTAAGCAAAAGTTCAGAGTCATGAAAAACTATTGGGGTGTTTTGGGAACTGTACGTAGCTTAAAATGGCCAATCAATAGGGAAAGAGTAGGGGAGAGAGGAGGATGGAGAAATGCAGGAAGGTGGCAGGGTAGGCAGAGGCCAGACCCTGCTGGATGTGCCCTATGTTAGAAGCTTTGCCTTCACCTAATCCGTGATAGAGATGCATGATGTGTTCAGATTTGCTTTCATATCACTGAGGCCCTGAGGAGCCTGAGAAGGTCAAGGTGGAAAGACAGAGAAATTACTTAGGGAGCCACGGAAACAGTTTAGGAGAAAGATAATGAGAGTCTAACTCAGGTAGTGCAGTGAATTGGAGATCACGGGCAAACTATTAGTAAGACATTTTAGGAGGTAATAAGCAGATGAAAGACTTCGGTATGGATTGACGATGAGAGAATGGGAGAGGGCTGAGTCTTGACTGCATTAGTAGTGGGTGGTTGCTCATGACGCCACTCACACAGCGTTATTCACAGATGAAAGAATAAAAGTAGATGAACAGGTTTGAGGAAGGAAATTATGAGTTTAGTTTTCAACATGTTCTGCTCTGGCGAATAGAAAACGTGCATAGGAGGGGAAAAAAAAGAAGAAAACACTATAAGGGTGGAGAACTGGGTGAATCAATGAGGGTGGAGAAGGAAAGCGATGAAGAAGGAACAGTGCCCTACCCAGATTTGGGGCTGTGCTCAGTCGTGTCCATGAACTATAGCCCCATGAACTGTAGCCCGCCAGGCTCCTCTGTCCATGGAACTTTCCAGACAAGAATACTGGAGTGCGTTGCCATTTCCTACTCCAGGGGATCTTCCTGGGATCAAACCCGCATTGCTTGTGATTCCTGCATTGGCAGGTGGATTACTTACCTCTGTGCCACTGGGGCTACAGTCATACAACTTAGTATACCTGTGAGTTTTTCCTTTAGTGGTAGTTCCAGAGACTGGTTTCTTGCAACTTGGTTCTGGAAACTCATTGGACCTCAAAAAAGGGCAAACGGCTTGATACATGCTTTCCTAACCTGTGATCAACTCATCATTGACACAATTTGCTCTATGAAAAAATACTATCTAATCTGGAGTTCAAGCTGCTCCAGGATTAGAATGACCAAATAGTTGTCTTTTCCCACATTGTCTTATGGGCAAGTGACTGACCACTGTCCTCAACACTATTTCCAAAGTGAGAATAATACAATGCTGAGTGATACTCCCTCAGTCGTGTCTTTGTGACTCCATGGACTGTAGCCTGCCAGGCTCCTCTGTCCACGGAATTTTCCAGGCAAGAATACTCGAGTGGGTTGCCATTTCCTTACTCCAAATACAATGTTAATATGTTAATATATAATGTATCAATATGTGTGTTTGCCCGTGGTTGTTCTTCAAGTTCTGAATCACTCCTTCCAAAAATCTTCCCTCTGTTAACTTTTACAACACTTTCATTTTGCACCTTGAAATTCAGAACTCGACCGTGGTCTGTCTTGGATCACACACGTAACTGTTTCCTATTTAGCAATCTGTTCTCTGCTCACAGGGGTCTAAAAATATCCTGGCCTTCTGAATCTCCACGGCAGAAACTCCAGAAGGTTTTTTTCTTTTTTTTTAAAAACATTTTCCGATCAGTCATTATCAGCCAATAAAAAGGGAAAAAGGTCGGCACGTGGTATATTAGTTCGGGCAGGAGGAAGGTATTCCAAGCAGATCCTTTCGCTCTTGCCAGAATCAAACATGGCGGGCTTCAGCCCGACCTTCCAGAAAACCCAGCTTTCTTTCCCTTGAGCCCGGCCAGTCTTTGGGGTCCTTTCTAACCTTCCTTACCCCTCGGCGACTCCGAGAGGGTCGGCACCTGGGAGCGTGACAGCGGACCTGCTTCCCGCCCCCATTCGAGGGCCCGCCCACCAGCCCGCGCCAGCCAGTCGCGGGCCGCGCTGCGGCGGCTGGCAGTGCCGGCCGGGCCCGCCCCCCAGCCTCGCTGTGGCCTGCGGCTCCCGGGCCGGTAGCGCCACTCTTGGTCGCGCTGACTCGTAGTGTGGAGCCGCGGGTCACGGGCGCTCTTCTCCGACCACAGATTAGCCAAGCGCCGCCGAGGCCGTCGGCCCCGAGCCTCCGCCATGGACTTCGAGGACGGTAAGCGCGGCCTCTGGCTGGTCACCGCGACGGGCGGCAGGCGGGGTGGCCTGCCCCCGGGGTCTGTTTACCGTCTCAAGATGGCCGTGTGGGCTTTGTTCTGCGGGCCTAGAGGCCGCCCGCCCGCCTGCCCGCCTCGGGCCCGGTGCCTGGAGTCGGCCTCGGTGGGGACCCGCGCGCCCGGATCGCCCCGCCCGGCGCCCTCTGCGGCCCGCGACCCTGAATTCCGCTCCGGCCTCGGCGCGGGGAAGGAAGCTCCCAGAGCGCCGCGGCCTCCCGAGTCCCCAGATCGGCCCCCGCCCCGCTGCGAGCAAATTGCCAGGAAGCCTTCAACTTCCCGTTCTGGGCGAGAGGGCGAGCGGGCCTCCCCCACCGCGGCTCGCGCTCGCCCGGTGGGCAGCGACCCAGATCGTCCTTTTAGTAAATCCCCAACTCCAGGTTACTACTCGCCAGATAGAATTTTCTGAGGCTTGTTCATGATCATGTTCCTTGGTTGTCTTAGTTTTTAAGATGAGTTTAAAGGGCGTCTGTAAGTGATTAAGTATAGTAGATCTCTATCCAGAATGGAACGTAAGGTATTTCTGGTTAGCAAAGTGGGATGTTTATCCGCCAACAGACAGTGCCCGGGCGTTAATCCCTAAATTTAAAATGCTTCTGTGAACCAAAGTGTTTTCTCTGGACAGTGTATTAACTTAGGCAAAATTATGGCACAGCATCACATGCCCTTCAAATTCAGACCTGTACACAGCCGCCTGGGGGTGGACTGCTGTTTAATTAAATGAGCAGTACCTTTCGGTCGTCTCTCACGCCGGTTCTTTAAGCCGTTTCATACGCTCACGAAATAAAATTAATTCGGTCTTCATATTCAAATCTTGCCCAACTTTTATAGTGATTGGTGTCAGGGTAAGATGAGTACGTAATGACAGCATTAGGGAAACATGAAAAGGGATGTGAATAAACTGAATTTAGTCCTGAGTTACTGGGCATTTCTGAATAAAATGGTTTCACTAATTAGTCGTAAGCCTCTAACCCAATCAAAAACATTAACTTTGAATATGCTGAGTCTGATTAAATGATCTTTTGACCTTTGATTTGATTTCATGCCACGAAGAATTGAAGCTGCCAAGTCTAAGTATATGAAAGGGGACTGGAATAACCTTTTGTGGATACTTTTAAGTTACTTTGAAATAGGAAGTTCAGATATTAACAGTAGCACACTCCAGTGTTTGTTTTAGTTGAACTTTGACTCATTTTGATATCGATACCTTTAAACTGGGTATTTGAAATGCCAGAGTTGAGAATGAATTTTATTTTATTATTATTATTTTTTTTTCGAGAATAAATTTTAAAAATATGTTGCTGTGTTTTCACACCAAACTTTGGTTACAGTACTAACACCCAAGGTGCAGCAGAAACTACCAGTGTGGGAGAAGGGAGTGACGGGAATGGTCCCCTCCCCCCATGAAGGAACCCATTGTCTTAGCATGGTTACTTTTTATTATCACCATCTGCCCACAGTTCTAAACAATGTGAATCATAAAATTCTAAACAATGTCAGTGATAAAATGTTCCCTCTCTCCTGCTCCTTCCTTACCCCTACTGCTTTATTTGAGGGATGGAATTTGCCTGACAATATGTGGGACTCTAATCCTCTGTAGTGTAGTTGGAGTCTATTGTATCCAAAGGACTGCTCTATTAAATTCCTATTTGTTAGTAGAATTAACTAAAGGATTTAACAATTGCCAAATTAGTTTTGACAAAGAAATTATCAATATGATCTTTGGTGATGATGCCACATCCTGGATAGAAATAGCACACACAGGTATACACATATATGCATGCGCATTTCTCAAATAAGATCTTGAAATCTTATTTAAGAGCAAATTAAGTGCTAAGAGAAATAGTAACTTGGGAAGAAAATATATTGAATTGATTCTCACATGTCCCTGTTTTTTGCACTGTTTGATATATATTTATCTGCCTTCCCTTTTGTTATGCTGTATAAATCAGTACTGGATCTCCTTTTTGGGCTGCAATTATATATCAGGTTTTATTAACTAATTTTTACATTACCATGATTTGGATGATAAACCTGCCATTTGGGGAGATAGTGAAAAGAAAGGGATATATATTTTCCCATATGAAGTATATATAATTATTAACACCCTGTTTTTGTAATAGTTGAGTTAATGGCAGTTTAAAAATTGTGTTTGTTTTTCAGTGGGTATATAATTCAAGATTTTTGCTAATATTGCACTAATTCCTTTCTGTTAAATGTGTCTTCATAGATTATACACACTCTGCTTGCAGAAATACTTATCAGAGCTTTAATGGTGAGTATCCTCTTTCATTTGATCTAAAATACATTAAGGGAATGCATCTCCATTTTTTTTGTCACCCATCTGAAGTATCAATGTAAAAAGGAAATTCTGCCTTGTTTCAGTCACTGTTTAGTCTTTTGATGTGTTAATGTTGTCATTACTACTTACAATATTTGAGTTAGGAAATTTGGAATCAGAAAACCTTAGGGCTATTCAGATTAGTTTGACTCTTTATTTGAATTCTGAGTTCTTTATTCCAAAGGCCCTGACTGTATTGAGTGATGACTTATAAGAAACTAGCTGAGTTATTATTGTTGAATTAGAGGCTTTGGTATTGAGTAAATGTAGATTAAGTGGATTATTGGCTTGGTTTTATATTGCTTCTTTCATAATTCATTTTGACCTTGTTTTTGAGGTCATTTGCTTTAATGTGTCTAAATATGTTAGTATATTAAGAACTGTCTAGAGTGTATAAAAAAGCCTTATCAATATAAGCATTGACATCAGACTGACTAAAGAGCTAGATAAAATCATGACATACGTAGAATACAATTCGGGTGAAGTTTTGATAGTTTAGATTAGAGTTAAGGCTTTGCCAGATAGGATAAGAACATAAAGAAGAGCATGGAACAGTTCAAGAGGTTATAAAAGCATTATATGAAGGGCCCCAGAGAGTGGAATTAAATTCCCTGATTGCCAGAGAAATGCAACTTTCAGCTGTTGTACAGAATGTAATATATTCACAAAATAAAACTGAAGCAAATGTACTATTAAATAAAGAAGACTGTGTCATTTCATGAGAATAATTACCATGCAGTTAATTGCTACTTATCATCTCTAAGAATTTAGAAAAACTTCGAATATGATGTCAGCTAAAAAAGTTAAACATATAGGAATAGTCAATATATATTGAGTGCTGAAAAACATATTTTTGAGCAGGAGAGTGATATAATAAAGTTACCAAAAGAAGTTTAATTTTCATCCGCTGTAGGTTATATTGAAAACTGGAGAATTATCAAGTTTCATAAATTCAGGTGTAAGAATTTTACACCTTGGGAGGTGTTGATAGTAATTTTAAAAATATTGAGCCATTTCTTGAGAAAGTTAGCAGAACTTTCCAGGCTGCCCAGTAGTGAGTAGAAAATTGAGAAGGATGCATAAAAATGAATCCAGGATTGGAAACTGGAGTGAGCAGGACTAGTACTTTTACCAAAGAGATTTGGAATGATAGAAGGCCATGATTTCCAGTAGGATGTACCAGAGAGTTGAATTTATGCCTCAATATAGGATTTTGAAATACAGAATCATAGAGGGTCAGAAGTTTATTTTCTTAACATACAGGATTGTGGAAAAAGAAAAAAGCTTAAAATATTTCTGTCACTGACATTATGACCTTCTTTCGAAAACAAGTGCTTTAATTGAGGTGTAGTGGACATCGAGCATACTAGTTTTAGGTGTACAGCATAGTGATCCCATGTTTGTACATGCTGTGAAATGATCACAGTAGTAAGTCTGGAAACCCTTGATCACCACATATAGTTTTCCTGCAATGAGAACTTTTAAGATTTACTTTTCTTAACAACTTTCAAATATGCAATACACTATTATTAACTATAGTCACTGTGCTGTATATTACATCCCCAAGACTTATTTATAACTGGAAGTTGTTACCTTTCAACTCCCTTGACCCATTTCAACCACTCCTACCCCCTTCTCTGGCGATCACCAATCTGTTCATTATGTCTACAAGCTTGGACTTGTTTGCTTTGTTTTGTTTTGATTTTTTTAAAATTCTACATATAAATGAAATCATACAGTTTTTATTATTCTTACTTCACTTATTTCACTTAGCATATGCCCTCAAGCCCCATCCATGTTGTTGCAAATGGCACGATTCCATTCTTTTTCATGGCAAAAGTAGTATTCCATGTATATACATACATATATATCACATTGCATCATCTTTATCCATCTATTGATGGACACATAGATTATTGCATATCTTGGCTATTGTAAATAGTGCTGCTGTGAAAACCGGGGTGCATATATCTTTTCAAATTAGATTTTTTCTAACAGTTAAATGTTAGACTTTTTTTTTTTCTCTTAATTTTAGTAGTGGTTTTCTTTTAAGGGTGATTGTTAGACTACCCTGTGGAGCTTTTTCAAAATGTATCTATTTAGGTCATACTGTAGTCCTCTTGAATCTTGATTTTTAGGGTAAATGGTCCCAACTGTGTCAGCTTTAACAACTATCGATACTTTGAATCATTTTAGAATGCACTTCTGGTTAAAGAACACTGCTTGACAACACTTTGAGGCCTGAGTTATCTACATTTTATAAATGAGGAACTTAATTTCAGGGATGTAATTTGACTTCATTCAACAGATATTTACTGAGTGTTTTGTATTAGATAGTGTTATTGGAGCTGGCAATACAGCAGTGAACGAAACGGACAAATATTCCTGCCTTTGTAGTGTACCGTCTAGTGGGGTGAAATGGTAAACAGGAAGAATATTTATTGCATTGCAGCAATTGCTTGGGAGAATAATAACACAGGACAGCTGTGTATGTGTGTGCGTGTGCGTGTGTGTGTATTATAATTTTAAAAGAGATTAGCAAGGGAAAGAATCACTGACAGGGTAATTTGAGCATAGAGTTGAGGGAGATGAAGGTGCAAGCCATGCCATTGTCTCCATATTTCCTTCTTATATAAATAGACAAAGGGAAAGCATTTCTGGTAGAGGGAAAACAGGAACATAGGTCAGGCTGAGTGCATTGTGCTTCAGAGTGACTTAAGAAGATGGGCTTGACTGCAGCAGGTGATTTTTGCTGAGTGATCTTAGAATAACGTTAGAATAGGGAGGATTATGTAGCCAGAAGGCAGTGAAAGTCAAAGACAATTTGCTTAACACACATGAAGTAGTAGAAAGTGAAGACCTGAAAGAACTGAGGGTGTGAGCAACGCAGATACAGAGGAAGAGCATTCCAGGCAGAGGGAACAGTAGGTGCAAAAATGGGTGTATACCTGTTGTACTCTAGGAATGGCAAGGGACCTAATATAGCTAGAGTGGAGTGAATAAGGGGAGATCACAGATGATGAAATTAAGTGGAAATAAATCAAGTTAAGAGGTAATGGGAAGGATTTCTTAACTTTGTCTCTATTGACATTTTGGACTAGATAATTCTTTGTTGTGGGAGAATGTCCTATACATTGTAGAATGTTTTAGGAGCATTCTTGGTCTCATCATTTGGTACAAGCAGCACCCATTACTCATTGAAAACAACAATGTTTTCATTGTTTGACCCCCTCTGGGGTTCAAAATTGCCCATGGTTAAGAACCACTGATTAGGGTTTTATAGATTATCTAAAGGTTTATTTACTTTGAGTAAGTTGGGAAGCCATTGGAAGGTAATGGGCATTGAACATAATTTAACTTACACCTTAACAGAATTCTTCTAGCTATTTTCTTGAGAATGAACAGAAAGGTTGCAGAAATGAAAACAGGAAAATCAGCTGGGGGGCTGTTGCAGTAATGTAGGTGAGATATGCTAGTGGCCTGTACCGTGATGGTAGTAGTGTGGAGGTGATAAAAAGTGGTCTCATTCACGACTTAGTGTTACACAGCTTGTTAGTTATTTTGATCATGTCAGTTGTTTTTTTGTACTACTCCACACCTCTTGTGAGTTAATTATAAGTGAACTTAGCGTTTGTTGAGCTTATCATTTATGGAAAGTGAAAGTCGCTCAGTCGTGTCTGACTCTTTGCAACCCCATGGACTGTAGTCCATGGAATTCTCCAGGCCAGAATACTGGAGTGGGTAGTCTTTCCTTTCTCCAGGGGATCTTCCCAACCCAGGGATTGATTCCAGGTCTACTGCATTGCGATTCTTTACCAGCTGAGCCAGAAGGTGTAACCAAATCAGTCGAGTAGATTTGATTTAAAATATGTCAGATTAATTTTGAGTGAATAGCTTTCTTATTTAATATATATTTTATTCAGGGATAATAAATATGGAATGCTAAATATGTCAGATATATAACAGTGATTCACAATTTTTAAAGGTTATATATAATATAGTTATTATAAAATACAGGCAATATTTCTTGTGTTGTACAGTATATCCGTGTTCTCATTTACTATTAACAGTAAAGATGTGGTATAGTCTTAATAATTTTATTTTTAGTGATTTTTAAATTCATTCAGTAACCTGGAAGAATATAGTTTATATGTAAATGGTTATGGTCATCTTATAGACTCTATCCCTATAATCAACACTGATTATATGTAGTATATATAAAGACTTTTACTCTTTTCCTTTTTAACTAACTGAATAGTGACAGTACTATGAACAATAAACCAAAAGACATTGCTGTGTAAAGATAGCTCTATTAATCTTTGTGTACTCTCTAGTGCCTGGGAAAAGGTGAGTGTTCAATAAATGTTAGTAATTTATGACTTTGTAGTGAAGTAAAAATATATAGAATCAAAACCTGAAAGATTTAGTATCCAAAGGCAGCCTCTGCTGATTGAAAATAGAAATTAGCAGAAATAGCAGTTTAAGTTTTTTTGTTTTGTGTACCTAACTGAACCTAACTCTAAAATTACTTTTTAATACTTTTTAGAGGAAAGCTTTTTATTTTGAAGTCTTCATCTTAATGTCAAAATTGTCCTCTGTTTGAGAGATATGAGCAACTTATATTGTATACTTACCAACTCTAAAGACAAATGACTTTTATTAGTCTGGAACTGTGTTATCTGATGTGGTAGACACTAGTAGACACTAACCATGTATGACTGTTGAGTAATTTCAGTGTGGATAATCTGAATTGAGGTGTGCTGTCTTAATATGAACTTGATTTGAAGTCTTAGTATAGACAAAAAACATTTAGTATATCTCATTAGTACTTTTTGTATATTGGTAAACTTTTTGTCATTAAAATTATTGGTATGCATTGTACTTTGAATGGATCTTTTTATGATGTGTAATCCTGTAATATCAGGTATTAGTTATTTGAAAAATACTGGTTTATAGAGTTATTCAGATTTTTCAAATATTGGCAGATTTTATTGTAGAAATTAAAAAGTTATATTTAGTAATACCAGTATCAATTTCATCAGAAAAGCCTTTAAGTATTGGGAAACTGTCAAGCCCAAGTTTTAAATTCTAATTTTCACATGAGTGCTTGAATTTTATCTTTGGCAACAAATACTATCACTTGTTTTCTTTGAAGTGACAGTTTCACTTCATTCATTTTTGAAAGAGTGTCTGCCAGATGCTCAAGTCTGAAAGCCATAGTTTTTGAATGTCAGTCTTTCCTTTTAGTAAAAACAGTATTCCTTGTAAAAAATGGCTAAGTCAGTGGCTTTTCCTAAAGAGAACTATGGCACTTAATGAAACTTTATTCAGTGATATGCAGCAAAATTGCTTTATGTATACGTTCCATTTTACTATCCAGAATATCATAAACTATACACAAAGGTCGTGATTTAATAAAATTGCTAATTTTTACTTCTTCATCAAGGACATTCTTTAAGTGAAGATTATTTCATTATTTTTATTATCTTTTATATTTTATTCTTTTATTGCAAGTGTGCAATACAGCTATCAATACTAGTGTGGTCTGGTGTCACTGCCTTGATTTGTGCTGTAGCACAAACCGTTTTACCCACCAATGGTTTTGCATCTTCAACGCAAAAAAATTTTCATCACTGTGTAAAAGGCAAATAATGTTTCAGTATCAATAATGTTTATAAAAATAGTTTGACCTTGTGGATCCCCTGAAAGGGGCCTGGCAACTTTTAGTGGTCAACAGGCTATTGAAACCTGCAAGCTTGGGGTACATAAAAAATTAGTGAAAAAGAGACCCTGACCACAAGACTAGCGTACATTTAAAGTGAGGTCACAGGACTTTCCTGGAGGCCCAGTGGTTTAAGACTGCACACACCTACCTAGGGAGCATGGATTTGATCCCTGGTTGTGGAGCTAAGATCCCGCATGCCGAGTGGTGCAGTCAAAAAAAAAAAAAGATTAAAAAAATGAGGCCACAGATAACAGAATACTGTGTAAGGCAGAGTATCATAAACACCATGTAAAAATGACAGACTTTTGTAGGTACTCAAAAGAAAGAGATGATAATCAATTGAGGCAACATCAGTAAGGTGTTCTTAAAAGGGTTAGTATTTGAAATGGCCTTTAAAAAATTAAAGAATTTCAATAAGCTACTATTTGGGCAGTAGAGAGAGCGTTTCTTGTAGAAGCAATAGTACGAAGCTAAAGGGGTGGATATTTATAAGACTTCGGGAAAATCATTTCATCTTTTTGGTTCCAAAGTCTATCAAATGAAAAGGTTAAATTTGATCATTTAGGTTGCTTTCAGGTTTAAAATTGCAAGATTTTGTTGTTAGGACTAGAAGTATTTATATAATTATAATTAAAATTTAATGTTTTTTAAAAAATAAATGTACTTGCTTTGTGTATACTCTTAGTACATAAAACTTAGAGAGGGTGATAAATGAAGACTTTTAAAGGACTTTATAGGAAACACATTGTAAACGGTTTTAAAATTTTTTCAATTTTATGATCATAGTAAACGGTTTTAAAATTTTTTCAATTTTATGATCATAGTAAATTCATTTTATTACCTTTTTTGTTGTATTTGTTTTTCATGTCAGAGGTGGAGATGTAGGTGGAATTATAGGAATTGTAATAAAATACACGTAGTGCTTTGATTATAATTTTTTTAGTGTTTACATTGCTAGAATTCACATTCATTCCCTTTATGCAAAGTTTTTGAGGATTTAAATATTTTTAATATTTAAATTTATATGTTGAGTGATTATTTATATACAGAGTACCACATAATGGCCCCACTCTGATTTAACTTTTTAAAAATATCTATTTCAATTACTGTATGAACTAATTTCAATTGGGCAGATTTAAAATGAGGCTGCCTCTGAATTTTTAGATGTTTTGAGAGGAGTTAGATGCAGAAAACAATACTATGAAATTTTTTTTCCTTTTGACATTATTAAATACCTTATTTTCTTAAGAATAAGAATTATTATGTACCATTGTAGCACATGACATAGGAACCTATGGTAGTATCCTAGTCACGTAAATATTGGCTAAATTGAAGATAATTTTAATATAGAACTTTTTAGTTGATAGTTTTTTTTTAAAATCAGGTCTTATCAGCAAATCTGATTTTTCAATAGATTATATGACATAGGACCCTATGGTAGTACCCTTGTGTAAATATTGGCTAAATTGAAGACAATTTTAATGTAGAACTTTGTAGTTATGATAGTTTTTTTTTTTAATTAGGTTTTGTTAGCAGATGTGGTTTTTCAGTAGATTATAATCTGTGTGGGTTTTCCTTCAGTGTCTAGTACGAATTTGGCTAAAATGTTAGCAATGAATTATCATTTCAGGTGATTGATATGAATATCTTGTGTTTTACACAGAGATTCCTGAAGAGATGGTATTTTACTGACCTTTTGTTATTGACTATCTTTTAGGAATGGATCGTGATTATGGCCCTGGATCTTACGGAGGTCTGACATTCAAGGATATTTATCTAAAAATTCTTCTTTTGAGTGCCAGTAAAGGTGAGCATCATTTAATTTTTTTTCTTTTTAAACTCTTTATAGGGATGGATCGTGACTATGGCCATGGATCCTATGGGGGTCAAAGATCCATGGACTCCTACCTAAACCAGTCATATGGCATGGACAATCACAGTGGTGGTGGTGGGGGTAGCAGGTAAATTGCTTCATCACTTGGCCAAATAAGTAGATGACTATAAGATTCTAGATAATTTAAGTATTCTCTAGGCATGTTATGATACTTAAACTATATTTAGAACTGAATAATCACCTTAAATGTTTAAAGGTGTTAATGGTTATAAAAACTATCTCAACATCATTGGCAGACATTACTTTAGGAAAACCTCAGGAATACCATTATTTCATTATACTAGAGTAAGATTTTCTGTCTTTAGCAGTGATTTTTTTTTAACTCCTTGTCAGTCAAAATGCCCTAAACAAATGATATAAAAATATTATTGGAAATATTATTTATGAAGCTTTTTCTTATGATTTTTCAAAAATGTATTTACTAATGTGGAATGCTTTATAGAGTAGCAAAGCAGTCTTGGACTAGAATGAAGTTAACTGAACCTGTCTAGCAACACTCAATTTGTAAGGAACATTTAAGATAGTTATTCTTTTAATTTTAGTTTTAAAGTGAGTTACAGGAGCATATTGTAATAATAAAAATATTCTTTAAATCATGTTTAGGTTGTTTATTGTCAGGTTCTACTTATGCCAGAAACACTTGTGGTTTAGACTAGGAGCTTTATATTAAAGCTATGAATGAGTACAATATCTTTTGTTATTTTAATGCAGTACAGTTTGATTATACTTAATGTTTCATTGTTGATGCTGTGTAAAGCTTAAACCTAGCTGAACTGCTATAGACTTTAGGGTTGACCACATTTTAGGCCAAGGAGGCACAGAGATTTTTGAGGCGCAGAGATTCCTACTAAATATTGATATAAGTAAAACTAGTTAGGAAACTTTTTGAAAGTATTGTCCTTCATAAATTGAAGGATCTGGTTTCCTTAAGGATGGATTGAATGATGCTTACTTTCCTTTTTTCTGCTTAAGTGTGCCATTATGGTTTATAGTAGAGAAAAATCAGGAAAATAGATACAACAATTTTGCTTATGTGATAGATGTTTTGAAAAATGTAGTTGAAAAGAGGAATGATTTTTATGTGGTTACTAGGATTCCGAAGTAAAGTGCCTTCTATTTAGTGATCGATAAATAATTTAAGTAATGTAACACATTTAAATATTTTACCTTATCAGTTGCTGCCCTGTTACATTGTAAATGTAATGTGTGTGAACTATGTAGATGTTACAATTTATCTCATGTAATTGTGGGCCTTTATAAAACTATGTTGTAAGATAAGCAACTTTTGTAATCCATGCTTTGGTGAGAAGTACGATTTGTTTCTTCTGTTCACTCTATTAAAACCCAGAGGAGACTGTGTGCTCCCTTTTTTAGAGTATCTTTATGTGATAATTTCATGTGATAATAGGGAACAATTTTTCAAATAATTGACATTATAAAATGTATTCTTTCTAATCTGCCTTGAAAATTCATATGCAAAGGGTATATATTGGTGGTCTTTTATGTTCTGTTTAATGTGCTTATTCTTCTAGATTTGTAGATTTATTAGTATACAAGTGAAAAGTGACTAAGAATTGATTATTAACGTTAACCAAAGTTTAGCAGGTTGTCAAATTTTATAACCAGATAATTCTCCCAATTTTGACTGCTGTAGACATAATGAAGCAGTTTTGTCAAATAGATTATTGGGGGTGCGAAAGGATCTCTTCTGTGTCACAAGTAGCCTACAGCTTTGTAGTCTTCAATTTGTGTCCCTATTGAAAGCCAAAATGTTGTAAATATTTTGTATTTTACTATTAGAGATGGGTTCAAAGAAAGTTTGAGTAGTCTGTGAACTTTAACAAATGACTTTTTCCAAGACTAGGGCTGGGCTTAAATAATGACAGACAAATCTTTTCTGATAAAATAGAAAGCTGCCAAAAAGCAGATATTTAAGCTAAGGTTACTTAACTCAATTCATATTTAAACACTGACTCAGATAGCTTTCTATCTGGTCTCATGTTGAACTGCCCAGCCCTAATCAAGTGTGAATAAAAGTAGAACTGCAAACCAGTATGGTATAAATGAATTTTAGTTGATAAATGTCATCTGATAATTTGTCTTTTGAATTGTCTAACATTAGTAAGCTTACTTTTGTTTTTTCCCTCACTGTGCAACTCTTCCAGGTTTGGACCTTATGAGTCTTACGACTCCAGGTCTTCTCTGGGTGGGCGAGATCTGTACAGATCTGGCTATGGTTTTAATGAACCCGAACAAAGCCGCTTCGGAGGTAGTTATGGTGGTCGATTTGAGAGCTCCTACCGGAATAGCCTTGACTCTTTCGGAGGTAGAAACCAGGGCGGGTCTAGCTGGGAAGCACCTTACTCCCGTTCAAAATTGAGGCCTGGGTTTATGGAGGACAGAGGAAGAGAGAATTACTCTTCCTACAGCAGTTTTTCTTCACCCCATATGAAGCCTGCACCTGTAGGCTCTCGGGGGAGAGGAACGCCTGCTTATCCTGAAAGTACGTTTGGAAGCAGAAACTATGATGCTTTTGGAGGACCATCAACAGGCAGAGGCCGAGGCCGAGGAGTAAGTACAACAGAATCTTTTCAGATTCTTTTCACTAGTCACTCTTTTAAACCCTTTCAAGACCATGGTTTTCAACTAGAATAAACACTGTTCATCCCAGTGTATTTTGAAGCAAAAGCTGAGTCATAAGCATAATTTTCAGGTTGCCTGTGAAAGTTTTCCCAGTACCTCAGAAAATACATGGCAGTGTGAGATGACTGTTCATATAGTTTTGCTAAATCTCCCTTTATTAAAAAGGTGAGGATATTAGGTTTGGTCTAAAAGGGGTTAAAAGGAGTTGCATTTTTCCTTGTAAACACTAGCAGTTTTGCTAGTGGGACAGTTCTTCGATTATTTTAAAGATAATGAACCCTTTCGGAGTTTCTGAGTAGGTTAAAGGTGCAATGTATGATAAAACGTATATACTTTGCTGCTAAACTCCAGCACATAGAATTTCTTCAAAGCTTCATATTTCACATTAAATACAAGAGAGACTAACAGTTGGTGATAGCTGAGGGTACTTTAGCCGTGTTTACATGGTGAAGAAGTTGATATGTATAGTAGACTGTAGATGATTTGTGGTCAGTATAATTTTGCTAACTCTCTTACAGTATGTTCTATTGCTGGGTGTTCTGTCTTACCTCTGTCACTAGTTTTACTATTGAGAAATAACTTCCTTCCTATAGAAACATGTCTATGGCTCCTTCCCAGGAAGTAATATTTTGTAAATTACTGCTTAAATGAATAAATATGCTAGTCTTCAAATATTTAATTTCAGGATATGTAGTATAAAGATTATGCCTTTACATTCTTAGGTAACTTGACTGACAAGAAATTTTACCTAGGAAGTGTACACAGATTGTGGAGTTATTATGTAGTTTGATTTTATAAAGAATATTGATTTTTGCCACCATGTAAGAATTGTTTGTTTTTTTTTGAAGTCAGTTGCTCTTAATATTCTCTTTGCAGAGGAAGGTGCTTCTGATAAAAAAAATGCAGTAGGGCACATGTTTTTGACTGCTCATTAATCTTTGGTACATCAGCATAGTTTGTCATACTTGTGTAGAAATTTTGCATTTATAACAGTTACTCTTTACTTATGTAAAATGCATTGCACCTTTAATGGATAATTAATAAAGATTTTTCTGATGTGACTAAATCACCTGGAAACACTTAATTTATTCAAGGTTAGATAGGTATTCCTAAGCATAGTATACAAATGTAAGCAACTAGTATGTTGCTGTTCTACCATGCTTTATGGTTGTAGATTAATTGAAAATAGTTGGGATAATAGGCTTTGGATTTTGAAATTGAAAATCTTTTCCAGTTTGAAAATTTGGAAAACTCTTAATGTTTTCCATGCTGTATATTACTTTAGGCAAATGATTTTTTCCTCAGAGAGACTTCAAATACCAATTTTGTTTTCATGATAGAAAAACAGGTATTCCTGTACTTTGTTTCCACCATTCTAGTCGAAGTGGACTTTTCTTTCTTTCTTCCTGTTAATGAAATAGATGAACCAATAGGTCTTTCCTTTTTAATCTTCACTTGTACAATTCCCATTGGATTCTTCTCTTCAGATTACTCCTCAATCTTTATCTTCTAAAAGTAAGGTTAGTAGAATAAATTTGTATGAACATGTGGCTTCTTGGTGTAGTGGGTTTTGTTAACGACGAGAGGAGAGGACACAAAGAGTCGTTTGGTTGCATGACTCTTCGTCTATAAACTTTGCTTCTTGGGCTTCTGGGTGAGAATATGTTTCTCTAGGTAAGAATGTGAATGGAACGTCAGATGCAATTCTTTATCTGAAGTGTGTCTTGGAAGTTGATGCATGGTTATGCTTTAACTCTCCTATTTCATACTAATGTTCCATCTCGCCTTCTCATCCCTTTTTCAACAGGGAGAAATCCTAAATCATTTCTGGATCTTTTTAAACTTCAAACTTCAGATATGGTCTTCTTTGTGTATCTTAGTTTTAAGCCAGGTTTTAGTAAAGTAAAGATTTCTTTTAAGGTCTTTTCATGGGAAAACATCGATTAGGAACTCTGAAGAGGAGTTGTCAGAGAGTTGTACAAGTGGTAATATTCTGACAGGCACATAACGTTGTTTATGATCTCAAGTAATTTTGAATCAGAAGACTCAAACAATAGGAAATATCCATATTTGTTCTTCTGGAAATAAAAATACTGATTCACTGGATTTGAGTTCCTGTAATAATTTACAGAGTTTTTCAGTGTATTTAGAGTGGACTTGTAAAATTTAGTTACATTCTGAGGAATTTTCAGGTGAAAAATTCTAGATAGATAAAATGTAATTTATATATGAATTCATACTTTTTCTTTGGATATTGTGCTAATATTTCTTGATTTCACAAATTTGCAGCATATGAGTGATTTTGGAAGCATTCATAGACCTGGAATTGTTGTTGACTATCAAAACAAACCCACCAATGTGACAGTTGCTGCTGCAAGAGGAATAAAGAGAAAAATGATGCAACCATTTAATAAGCCTGGTGGAACCTTTATCAAGAAACCCAAGCTAGCAAAACCTGTGGAGAAGATGAGCCTCAGCAAATCACCCAGTAAGTTGGAAAACATAATTGCTGTGGTTCAAGGCAGTTTACATTATTTTTTTTTAACTCAGTGCATTTAAATAATTTTTTCATGTTTATGTAGACAAATTATATAATAATTACAGTTGTAGAAATTAGATCTGCAGTTGCCCTAATCAGTCATGGATATCAAAATTACCAAAAGATACTTATAAATTCACATGCCCTAATTCACCCGTTTTCCCTTAATCTTGATTTAGGGTGGAACCAGAACATCTATATTTTTACAAAGATCTTACACATTATTTTGATTTGGATTCCTTTCTTGGGTGTTATATTTATTGTTGGATAATTATTGAGGAAGTGGTATGTTATATTACATAGAATCTCCTGCATGAGGTCAAAGGCAAGAAATTTTTCATCATCCTTGGTGCCAGGAAAAGCTATGTATTCTAGAAAATTAATTTGCCTTTTGTCTTCTGGACATTATTCTTAGAGATAATCATACTTCATTTTTTACATTGTTAAAAATTAAGAGCCAGTCTGAAAGTGAAATTAAGAAAACAGTTCATGGTAGCATCAATAATTAAATACTCAGGAATAAATTTAACAAAAGAATAAAAAACTTTGAAAACTGTAAAACATTGTTAAAAGAAATTAAAGAAGATCTAAATAAATGGGATACTAAATAAATGTTCACATATCAGAAGACTTAATGTTAAGATGGTAATACTCTCTAGACTGCTCTACTGATTCAGCCCAATCCCTGTCAGAATGTCACCTGACTTATTTGCAAAAATTGACAGGTTGATTCAAAAATTAATAGGGAATTGCAAGCAACCTACAATAGCCAAACAATCCTAAAAAAAAAAGAAGGGAACAGAAAGACTACTGCTTCATGATTTCAAAACTTAACTACAAAGCCACAGTAATCAAGACAGAATGGTACCGGCACATGGACAGACATGAGATCAATGGAATAGAATTGAGAGTCTAGAGAGAAACTCATAAATCTATGGTAAAATGTTTTTTTTTTTTTTAGCCAGGATGTCAAAATTATTTAGTGAGGAGAGAATAGTCTTTGCAACAAACACTGCTGGAACAATTGGATAGCCACATGCACAAGCTAGCATACAGCACCTACATGCAAGGGCTAGAACTATAAAACTCTCGGAAGACAACAAGAGTAAGTCTTCATGACTTTGGATTTGGCAAGACATTCATCTGACACTGAGAGAGCAGTCAAGTGGAAAACAGGTAGCTTGGACTTGGGCTTCCCTGGTGGCTCAGCTGAAGCATCCGCCGGCCAGTGCAGGAGACGCACGCTTGATCCCTGGGTCAGGAAGAGCCCCTGGAGAAGAACCATGCAGCCCACTCCAGTATTCTTGCCTGGGAAATTCCGTGAACAAAGGAGCCTGATGGGCAGTAGTCCAGAGTTGCAAAAGAGTTGGACACAACTTAGTGAACAAACAACAGTGAAACTGGATTTTATCAAAATTAAAAACTTTTGTGCTTCAGAGGACACATTAAGAAAGTGAAAAGACAGCTCACAGAGAAGGAGAGAACATTTGCAAATTATACCTCTAAGAGACTTGTATCTAGAATATATAGAATTTTTAAATTCAATAAAAAGACAAATAGCCCATTTGAAAAAAGCATCTGAACAGACATTTTTTCCCCCAAAAGATATACAGATAGCCAATAAGCCCATAAAAAAGTGCTCAACAGTTAGTTAGCAGGGAAATAAAATCAAGACCTTGTGAGACTGATCACTTTTACTTATCTGAATGACTAGAATCGAAAATATAATAACAGGCCTTAGCAAGGATGTGGAGAAATCTTCATATACCATTGGTGGGAATGTAAAATGGTCCAGGCACTTTTGAAAACAGTTCCTCAAATGATTAAACAAATTACCATATGATCCAGTAGTTCCACTCTTAGGTATGTATCAAGAAATATGAAAACATGTCTACACAAAAACTTATGTACAGATACACATAACATCATTATTCATAGTAGCCAGAGGTATAAACAACCCAAATGCTCATCAGTGGATGAATGGTTAAACAAAATGTGGTTCGTCCATACAGTAGAATATTTTCCAGCCTTAAGATGAACTACTGTTACATGGTACAACTTTAATGAACCTTGAAAAGGTTAATGAAATGGAAGAAACTAGTCACAAAAGTCCACATATATGATTCTTTTCATTTGAAAGTCTAGAATACAGAAATCTATAGGGTTAGAAAGTAGACTAGTGGTTGCTTTGGGCTGTGGGGGTGTATAGGGAGTAATAAATAACAGGATACCAGATTTCTTTGTGAGGTGATGAAAATGTTTTAGAGTTGATTAAGGTGATGTTTGTGCATATCTGTGAATGTTCTGAAAAGCATTGGATTACATACTTCAAAAGAGTGAATCATATGATATGAGAATTATGTCTTAATAAATCTTTTTTTTTTGTCTTAATAAATCTTAAACATTTGAGCCCGATTATTGTTACATTCTCTGTTACTGTATTTTATTTAACTTTGTAATATATCTCTAAATGAAATCTTGCATTTGATCAAAATAGATTGTCAAGAATATACATAAATAAAAGGTAAGGAAATGTCTTTTTCAGCATTCTTTGTGAAAACATTATAGCAAATATGATAGAACAGATACTATACCTATTTTTAACTGTACACTGAATTATGTTTTGTTTTTTATATTTATTTTATATTTGCCTTGATGATTGAAAAGTATTTTATCTTTTCAAATTAGGTGACATTACAAGGGATTAAAAATGTCTCTCTTTAGAATTAATGTTGAATTACCTATTATTGTTGGGACTGGGCAAGGTGAAGATCATCGTAATGAATGAATATTTCAAATTTTTGTGATGTAATTTTTAAAAATCTTTGCATCCAGTTTAAAAAATAAGATACATTAATTATTAAGATGAATTTATTACTTCCTTTGATGTTGGAGGTACTAAACAAGTCATGATAGCCTTCAAATAATTATTTAAGAAAGAGGGTGGAAGGGAAGAAGCAAGGAGGCCTAGATAAGTCCTACTTTAAAACAGGTTTTTTATATATTTTTGGATACTGACAGTATATTTGTTTTGTTCTTTGAACTTCATTTCTATTTAAATCGCTTCAGGATGAATAGATGTATCCAACTTGACAAAAGGATTGTACCAATTGTTAGTAAACTAGCACTTAACTGCATGCTTATTGCACACTAGGCAGCAGTGTGTTAAAGGGCATAACAGGCATTGTTTATGCAATTCTCACATCAGCCTGCTCAGGTGCAGGTACCAGACCCTCTGCAGCTGAAAAAACAGGAACAGAGCATAAATTTGCTGCCTGGGTCAAACAACTGGCAAAGCCAGGATTTATTCAGGGCAACTCTTACTCTGGAGACCCTTCAGGTAAAGCTCCATGTGATTGTAATGGAAAATTACTTTGTATTACTTTGTATTATATTATCCTTATTTAAAATGACTTTTTAAAAATAATTACATTACAGACATTATATCTTATCAAAAATATGACATTTGAAATTGCAAATATTGGATTTTTTCCTCAAAATTATGAATTATTATTCAAAACTCAGTAACACTTTAAATACTATTTTTAAATCTACTTTCCTGCCATGCTTTGCATTGGACATCTATATTATTTAGTAAAAAAATAGCAATATTCTGAAATTCTAGAAACCTGATCAGAGTGTGTGTTAGTAGGAATAAGTTTTATACTGTTACTTGATGGATTGTTATTTACTGAATTGTGTACTCTAAATATTACTAGAATAGGCAATTCAGTTGATCTTGGGATAGAGTTTTGCAGATTTAGTTAAATAATACAAAGTTTGATATAGATACTTATTTGTCATTAACGTGGATATATGTGACTTAACTATTTTTTTCTTTTTAACAAAACTTGAGAGTAGTGTAGTATTTAAGAATGAAACCAAAATTCTGTAGTCAAATCAGGCTTTCACTGTCAGGCATGAGGTGGGCATTCTGAATGATAACCGCTGAGTATTCAGGGATAAGAAATCTTGCTATGCTATAATATATAGACTGTATGATTTGTTGAAATGCAGTAGGAAAGGAATCATATTCAGTCATTTGGATAGAGGTACAGTGTATGTCAGCTTTAGCATGTGAAAGGAAAATGAAATTGCTTCTAGTTTAAGGTCATATGCGACCAATTTTTTTCCATAGAGTGAGGGTTTAATGGAAACTGAAAGAGGATATTGAAAATGGTTAATAGGAATGTATGTTTAACCTCTTATAAAATGATGAAAAATAATCTAGATATTGAATTTTAAGGTATTGATTTTATACAGTTTTGAAACATCCTGCTGTATGCATAGCAGATACTTAATATTTGTTTATTGTTAAGTTCATGAATCCCCAGGTGTTCATGATTTTGTATTAGATATTTTGCCAAAGGTAATCCAAAAGGATAAACAGTGTATAAAAGGAAAAGTTTGAGGGCAGATGAGTTTATTAAGTCTAAAATTAACTATATTATAAGAAAGAACCTTTTTTTTTTTTAATACAATGAAATATCACTTCCTATCATATGTGAAGTTGATGGTCTTAAAATAAAAAGAAAATAACAAGTGATGACTATGTGGGGAGATTAGAACCCTTGTACATTACTATGAGAATGTAAAATGGTGTGGCTGTTGTAGGGAACAGTTTGGTGGTTCCTCTAATGATTATACGTAGACTGACCATTTGAACCAACAATTCCATTTCTAGATGTGTACTTCAAAGAATTGAAAAGAAGTATTCAAACAAAAACTTGTATACAAATGTTCATAGCAGCATTATTCACAGTTGTCAAAAGGTTGAAACAATCCAGACGTTCATCAGTAGATGAATGGATGAAAAGGCAATGTGATGTATTTGCACAGTGAAATATTATTGAGCTTTAAAAAGGAAGGAGGTACTGAGACATGGTCAACACATGGAAGAGCTTTGAAAACATTATGCTAAATAAAAGAAACCAGACAAAAAAGGCCACATATTGTATCCTTTTATATGCAATATCCAGGATATTAAAATCTGTAGAGACAGAAAGCAGATTAGTAGTTTTACCAGGTGCTTTAGTGACTTCTCTTTGGAGTGATTAAAAAGTTCTGGAGCTAAATAGTGGTGCTGGTTGCATGATCTTGTGATAAACTTAATGTCACTAAATTGTACACTTTGAAATGGCTAAAATAGTACATTTTGTGTATTCACATTAAGACATGTTTTGAGAAAAAGAGGAAGAACCTGCTTTTAGAGTTTATTTATTTTAAGAAATTTTAAGAGCGCTTTATAATAAATGAGTTTTTGCATCCAAGGCTCTCTTTCTAGTGCTCATTGTTTTTCCACTTTCATGCAAGGTTGGGTTATTTGTCAAATGTTTCCCAAAGTGTGATAATTCAAAATTATTTTAAGTAATATGGATATTATTGCTTAAAATGAGGATAAGAAAAAAATGAGTGGATCTAGAGAAAAATAATGTAGCAAATAGTAAACATAGTTGAGAAGTAAATAGACAAAATTTATGGTGATGGTATTCATGTGAATGAAGTTTCAGAAATCCTGAGTAATCTCAAACTCTGATTTTTCTGGTGAGTTCAGTTTAGATAATGACCACCAAATAAATCATCTATCTGTAGTTTATGAATTGGGGACTGGAAAAGGAGAATGGCGAAGTGATTCTTAGTTTTAACTTTTGTCTGATCCTCTAGCAAAAACTGATCCTAAAAATGAAGAAGAAGAAAAGCGGCGAATTGAAGCTCGGCGAGAGAAACAAAGACGCAGAAGAGAAAAAAACAGTGAGAAGTACGGAGATGGATACAGGTTTGTGCTTAGTAGAGTCAGAAAATTGGACTCATTAAGAAACTGTTTCCAGGATTTGAGGGTGGGAAGATTGAGTAAAGATGGCCAAAAGGTACAAACTTCCATTATATGATAAATAAGTTCTGGGGATATATTGTACAGATGATGACTATTGTTAACAATACTGTATTATATATTTGAAATTGCTAAGAGAGTAGATCTTCAAGGTTCTCATCACAAGAAAAAAATTACAACTAGTGAGGTGCTGAACATTAACTAAACTTATCATGCTCATCATTTCATAATATATACATACATCAAATAATTATGTTGTACATCTTAAACTTACACAATGTTATATTTTTTAAAAGATTTTATAAATAAAATTTTAAAAAAGATTGTATTTTAAAAAAAACTATTGTTGGTATTTTAACCTGGTATTACAGTTACTCTACAGTTATGTAGAGTTAGCCTATGTTTGATACCTGTCTCAAGGATATTGACAGATATATTCAGTTTGCTACTGTCCACCTCTTCCATAACTGTTTGCTCCTCAAGGTCTAAAACAAAGCTTTATCATTGTCCTTGAGACTCAAGCCACTGACAATCACTCTATATAGATTTTACAACTAGAAATCCTGGTTTTTCTATGTGCACAAGCAATAATCTATCTGGCTAAAAGAGATTGTGATGTTTCATTAATTTTATGATATAGACTGATTTCAGAAATGGAATCAGGAAAAATATGTCTTAGAATCAATACAATACTATGTTTAAGCATCAAATAAAACAAAAAAATACCTAAACATGTTTGCTAGAAAAGGCAGATAAATTGGGATGTGAAAAAATTCCTGAGAGTCAAATGAAAAGGATTGATCAAAGATATATAGGAATGATTTTGATTTTTTGATATTTGCAGTCATCCCTTGATATTAACAGTGAATTGGTTCTAGGATCATCACCCCCTCTACCCAGCCTCCACATTCCCAACCACTTGGAAGACCAAAATATGAGGATGGTCTATGAGAGTTCTCACCTTGTTAAGATTAGAAAACTAAGGCCCAGGGAATTTAAGTTGCCTAAAGTCACTTAAGTGTGCTAAGAAATAAACCCAGCAGTAGATTTCAGATTCTATACTTTTACTCAGGAAAATAAATATAATAGTGCTCTAAGGAATTAGTTGGAAAATGGAGACTCAAGATAAAGAAACCCATTAGGAGACTATTGTCATATTTGAAGAAAAGGAAGTAACAGGGATACATGACGTAAGAATAATTAAATTCATTCTGGAGTGACTCTTAAGCTTTTCAATGAGTACTTATGTCCAGTCCAGGCCTGTTAGACATTTGAAGTGATTTTTGATCATCTAAGAGTTCTAATAGAGTGAATTATGGTTTTCTGGTGTGCTACCTACCTTTGTTTCTACTTCAGTGATTTGGAAGCTTGAAGATAGAAGAGTGTAACATTAGTGGCACTTTGGAACTTGATACTGCTTGAAGTTTGCTTTGACTTTCTGATCTAGACTTGAAGTGGATAGTTAGGGTTAGATGAAATAGATCCACTGATTCTGTTTTTCATATTCAGTAGCTCCAGTGTGGTCCAGAAATGTCAATTAGTATGATGACAGTGTTGTCCAGACAGGTACTTAAATGCTATTTTTTTTCTGACTTGAGCTAAGTTTAAATCAACCATTACTTGGAAGAGAGGAAATCATTTATGCTGGTAAAATTGATTTCATTGGTGTAGTCTTATGAATGCTTTCTAAGTAAATAAGGTAATATTTAAAGAAAAAAATTTTTTTCCCTTTACAGAATGGCATTCACATGTTCATTTTGTAAATTTCGAACATTTGAAGAAAAAGATATTGAACTTCATCTGGAAAGTCCTTCACACCAGGAAACATTAGATCATATTCAAAAACAAACCAAATTTGATAAAGTAGTTATGGAGTTTTTGCATGTAAGTAATTTTTGGAGAGGCACTTGATCAGACATTTGAATTTCTTATATTTTCATCATTACCCATATTTCTCCTGTTTTATGTTTCTAAGAATTTAATTTACTGTTTGCTTAAAAAATGTTGTCTTAAAATTAGCTTAGAAGTAGATGTGAATTCCTCTTTCATAGATTGTAGATTTGTGATTTGAGAGTACATTTTACATTTTTTACTGAAGTTTCTGACAGCTGTGTCAGGGAAATTCCTTTAACAGCTGTTTATTGATACTGAATCAGCTATCGGTCTATTAACAGTCTTCTGTGTACCTGGTGGTGTGCTGGGTAATTTTCTTCATATTTCATTTCAACCTTATACCAATTTGTCTTTATCCTAAAAGATTATGCTCAGAGCAGTTTAGTGACTTTCAATAAATGGAAGTCTGAATTGAATTCAGAGCCAGAGAGCCTGATGTTTGTTTAGCGTCCTTTATCAGAATGTGGTCACCAGTTCAATAGTTTTTCTTGAATACTTAAGAGTAGGTGCTATGCAGGCACAGCACCTGAAGACACTGAAGATACAGACATTCCCTTTAGTGAACTAACAGTAATTGGAAATCACACACACACACACACACACACACACACACACACACACACACACACACACACACACACACACACACACACACACACACACACACACACACACACACACACACACACACACACACACACACACACACACACGACACTATTAAGTAGAAGAGCCCTGAGTGATAGTGTAAGTAGAAGTGACTTGGAGAAGGGGAGGATAGTTTGGGCCAGGGCTGGAGCTGGACTGCTAACTGTACTTGCAATTAATTTGGGCAAAAGAGATGGAATTGTTAGAAGGTTAGAAGTACAGAGATCCTGTATCCTCTGTATCCTTGGAGAATTGTGTACCTTAATTAAATTTCTTTCTGTAATTTTGTTTAACTGGTTCCTGTCATTTAGGACTTAAGTATTCACTTGCTCTGAGATCTCTTGCCTATTCAGCTGTCTTTGATCTCTCTCTCTCTATATATGCCTAAAATATTAATACATCTTGAAAAGTAAATACTTTTTGTAGTTTCCTGGTACTTCATTATAGTCTTTTCAATTAGATTATAAGCTCCTTGAAAACATTTACCAGTTCTTATATAACAGATAATATTATTTTTCATAGGCCAAGCATGGTGCTGGGCCTATACTACGTACTCACTAAAAACTTTTTGGATTCTTTCTATTTTGTTTTCTAGGAATGTATGGTAAATAAATTTAAGAAAACATCTATTCGTAAGCAACAGACAAATAATCAAACAGAGGCGGTCAAAATAATAGAGAAGGATGTTATGGAAGGTAAGTTAACAAATTGATTTAGAAATTTGCATGTATATTTTATATACCATAAACTATGTCAGTGTAAATGATGTCCGTTAGAGTGATACAGTACGTAGTCATGTATGGCAGGCCTGAGTGGGTTATCAGAAATGAACTTCTTTGATTCCTGTTCTCATGCTTACAAGTTTATCACTACCTTCTCTTATGTCTTTCGCTTCATTTCCTTCGTAGAGGAAGTATCAGCTTTGCCTCTACTGAAAGTCATCCCTAGGTATCTGAGAGAGAGAGGTTTCAGGACCTGCTTGAGGTATCAGAATATACAGATACTCAAGGCCCATTGTTGGTTTTCCACTATGTATAGATGGAGAAGCCATGGATACAGAGGGCTGCCTGTACTTCTGTATGTCATGTATCTCTCTTATTCCTTCTCATCTCCTTAAAGACTTCTGCTCAAATTGTGAATTCTTCTCTTCTGTTTTTCGATCTTTCTTTGTCTTTTGATTCTGTCTCTGAAGCCTATACACTTACTTAAACAAACAAACAAATTAAAAAAGACCTAAAGAAAAAAAATAGAAAAACATAGACACTAATTCCCCTAGAACTGCTTTTCTTTTTAGACAACCTCACTTCTCTAAGCATAGTCCACACTGGTTTCTGTTTCTTCATTCTCACTTACTGCTTTACCCACAGTGGACAAGTTTCTGCTATCATTAGTGTACTGAAACTGCTATGATGGAGGATACCAACACCAACACCAACTTCAGTTTTATTCAGCAGCATTTCCCACTGATAACTCTGTTATTTATGAATCTGTTTCCTCCCTTGGTTTCTGTGGTGCCCACTGCCTCTCTTTACTCCCTTGTCGTTTTTCCTCTTTGTGCTTTTCTTTCTCTGCTAAGCTTTTAGAAGTTGATATTTTTCAGTATTCTGTCAGTCCCATTAACTTCTCTCTTTATATTTCTTCCTGATGAATTAATTTATATACAGGATTTAAATCAACATCTATATGTTGATTACTTACAGATCTATATCTTCAGCACAGATCTCTCTTCTGAACTCCAGTCTCCTACATCTAACTGCCTACTGACATCTCTCTTTAGCAGTCTCACAAATTGAACATACTAAAAAAATTTATCCTTCCCTTGAGCATCCCCCACCCCATGAAGAAAACAAGACAAAACTTAACAGGTATCTTCTTCATTTATCTTGGAAAGTGGCCCCATCAATGCCAGAACTGTGAAGTTAATGTTAGTACTTACATTTGCTTTATGTAAATGTATGTAGTCATACTACTATGTCTGTAGTATTTTGTTCTGTCGATTCTATCTTTTGAATATGTACTAAGTCTGTTTTCTTTATGTCTTTATTAAATACTGAATTTGTTAAAATCTTTATGTATTCTATTTTTCTAACTAGTGTCCTTTCTTTCAGTCTTATCTCTTATTTTACTACATGATTTTATTACTTGAAGAATTCAAGTAATAAAGTGGCTTCCGCATCCTCCACAGAATGAAGTTCAAATTCCTAGGCATGGCATACAAAGCTCTTCATGATCTTGGCCCTTTTTTTTTTCCTTTTGTTCCTTCTTTAGTCTGTGCCCCAGCCATATTGAGTTACTTGTAGCTCCCAGAAAGTGCCATTTTCTCTTAGATCTTTCCTTTGCATAGACAGCTGTCTCCCTGGGTCTGACGGAGGTTGGTTCTAGGACCTTCCTGCAGATACCAAAATCTGTGATGCTCAAGTCCCTTATATAAAATGGGTGTAGTATTTGCATATAAACCGTGCATATCTTCTTATATACTTAATTTTTTGGATATTTTCTTCAATTTTATTTTAAATTTATTTATTTTTGATTGGAGAGTAATTACAGTGTTGTGTTGTTTCTGCCATATTTCTTATATCATCTCTAGATTACTTATGATACTTAATGTAAATAAGTAATGTAAATGTCAGGGTGGAGTTTTGATTTTTTGGAACTTTTTAGAAGTGTTTTTTTTTTAAAAAATATTTTCTGTCCATGGTTTGTTGAATCTGTAGAGCTGGAACCAGCAGATACAGATGATCACCGTATAGTACCTTACAGTATTACTTCAGGAATGAAATGTGAAAGATCATGCAGATCTTTTTATTTAGTTGAAGCTGCATGTTATCTATTGTTTTCTTAATCAAATGTCATGATAAATTCAATTGCCGACGGAAGAGCCAAATTAGTTTTTCTCAACATAAAAAAATACATGATTCTTTAAAAATGATATAATTCTAAGGAAACTGGTGTGTTTTTCATATGCAGCATTTAAAGAAAATTCCTGTGAACATACATGTAACTTACTAATTTAACATATTTACTAAAGTCCTGTTATGTGGCTGGCACTGTTCTAAGGAACCAGAGATACAGTGATAAGCCTGGGAGCCAAAGCTGTTATTTTTTTTCTATTGAGTTGTGTAGAAATCAACAAATAAAATAGGTTTTAAAAACATATAAAGTAACCTTCACTTGTAATAACCCTCAATCACCGTTTTAAGATCTAACATATATATTTGGCCTTTATGAATCCAATTTTGACTTATTTTTCCTGTTTCTACCCACCCACATTCATAAGCCTGAAAATTCTTATTTTACTACAGAATCAACATTTTTATATTATATTTTTGGGGGTTGAACTTTAACAGGCCTCAGAACATCATTGTATGAGATGAGTAGGAAATATAATGTAATTATACTTTGTAATTTTAATCTTTTATCCATATAGTTTTTAACTTTATTTTTTAAATTATAAAAGTATAATACACATTTACAGGAGACTTGTAAAATACAGAGCAAAATTATACATAGTTCACTATATATTACAATTATTTTTTTTAAGTAGATAAATTAAGATTTTTTGGTTGGTGTTTCTATGTTAAGCTCTCAAATATTAATAGAATGAGTAGGTAGAAAATTAGAATGATGTAGTAGACTTGAAAAGCCCACTGAACCAATTCAACGTAATTAAGATTTAGGCAATTTTCCCATAACAGCAGGACACAAATTCTTTTCAAGTTCCCGTAGACTGTAAACCAGGAGACACTGAAACATATCCAAGGACATAAAACAAGGTGTAAAAATGTCATGGTCTAAAGGTATTGAAATCCTAGTCTGTTCTCCTGTCACTGTGGAGTTATGTTAGAATCACTGTGGAGTTATGTTAGAAATCAATATCAAAAGACACTTGAAAACTAACCCACATATTTTAAAGTGCAATGTGACATTTACCAAGAGAGATCTTTGACTTAGCTATTGAAAGCCTCAATAAAGTTCACAGACTGAAAAAAACACAGGTGATGATTGTAGAGAAGAAAGCATTTAAATGAGAAATTAAATGTCAAAATGAGAGAATATCAAAGATATTTTAAAAACCTCATGTATTTATAAATGTCCACTTTTAATTGATGTGTATATCTAAGCAGCCATAACAAGGAAAATATTTGTAACAAAAACGAAGAGAGAATTTTATCAGGTTTTGTTGCATGCATTCTGAAGCTGCTCAGTGCAACTAAATACCATGTGGAATCTTGAATAAAGTATGAAAACAAATAATTATCCATATCATTTTTAAACTATGTTTGCAGATTTATGAGATTCGGTAGAAGAACTCAACCTATATACTCTGATCAGTTTGTTTGGAAGGAGTATAAATCATAATGGAAATGAAATAGTGAAAACTTATTTGTCAGAAGTATATGAATCATTACTTTTCTTGTTAATAGTTGCATTTCTTTTGTAGGTGTTACTGCAGATGATCACATGATGAAAGTAGAGACTGTTCACTGCAGTGCTTGCAGTGTGTATATCCCTGCTTTACATAGTTCAGTTCAGCAGCACTTAAAATCTCCTGATCATATCAAAGGAAAGCAGGTGAGTTTTAATCTACCTTAATGAAGTCATTGAATTATTTATTTAATCCCTTATTGCCTTTTAAGGGCTATTGTTTCACACCTACCTACTTGTGTACAATCCAATTAATCTCATGAGTGACTTACTATAAAGATGCTTAGAGAGTTAGTGTAGTATAGTGGTTAAGTGTAGTATTGTGGGCTCCAGAGCAAGACTTCTGTGAATCCTGGTTCAGTACATACATATGTTAAGCAAGTAATAAACTTTTCTTTGTCTGAGTTTCCTTATCTATAAAATGAGGATGGATAAATCTTGTGTGATCCGTTAAGGATTAGTTTAATTAAAATGTAAAAGGCATCTAAAGTAGTACGTGGCACATAGTATATATTCACGAAATCATAGCTGTTATTGAACTGCTTTTTTTATTGTTAACATTTTTTAAAGGTGGTGCAAAATTGTGTTATGAGTGTGTGTTTGTGTATTTTAAAACAAAAAAGATGACGGTGAAAAATAAAAAGCCAGTTACTTTCTGTTGTTACATTTTTAGTAGAATTTACTCAGAAATTCTAGGAAACTTACTCTTTTCTTCTTGATTAGTGTTATTTTGCTCCTGTGTTGGTTAGTTTTATTTAGTCAAATTTATTTCAAATAGAAATATTTATTTTGTGAGAAATTTATTTGAAAAGCAAATTTAAAAATTCAGGTATTAAAGACTTAAGTTTGACAGCATGAAGATTAATAGTTGGAGTAGCTGGGGCTGGGGAAGTTAGCTTCAGAATAGATAGGAGAGAAAGCAACTGTTTAGCAGACCTAGACTTAAAGAGTATTTAGTGACTGGGTGTTTTTTGTTGAAGTTCACTGGCTTTTTGAATCTTCATTGTTTTAATTCATAGATCATTTGGATTATAATCACAATAGCTTTTGTTGTTCTATAGCTTTACTTGACAGAAATTAAGTATTCTAAGAATTTGAGCATGCAGTCATTTTAATTAAGGAAAATTTTTTCATGGCATCATTTGCAAGTGTCTCAGTGTGTTCTGTTTTTCATAGGCTTATAAGGAACAAATAAAAAGAGAGAGTGTCTTGACTGCTACAAGCATTTTAAATAATCCAATAGTGAAAGCACGATACGAACGTTTTATTAAGGTAAGACTTTAAAGCAAAAACTGGGTTAAATTGTAATGTTGTAACAGTTAAATATAGCATGGTAACTCTTTGTGATATTTAATATAGTACAAAATTAGGAGAATTTTACTTGATATCATACATACAGGTAAAATGTCTGTTTTCCTAATTATTGGGATTTGTTGGGGGAGGGAGCAAGACGCCATTCCTTTCTCTTTCCCTTTCTAACTCTGGGTCATTTGAGAGATACCCAAGAGTCTTGATAGAAGACCCAAATGTCAGCTTTATCTTGATTTTTTTTAAAAAGCATGACTTGGATGGTATGTCTTAGATAGTTATTGTGGACTTTCTAGTATTTCACTCCTAGTATTTCACTTACCTCTCTCCAGCTTCTGTGACCACTTCAGCTGGACAGCAGTAGGATTCACCTAGTCGATCCCATGACAGAGCAGACTAGAATGCACCCTTTCTGTTGCTTAGAAGACAAAAAAGAGGGTCTTGATGCCCAAGTGAATCCCTTCTGTCCCCTCTTTTGGGTGTTCCTAGTGAAGGGGAATTCCAAAGAGGAATGACCTATCCAATTGGTATTTCTTCTTCTGAGCATACCAATTGGATAAGCCATTCCTGGGTAACACTTGGAGGGGAAGCAGGAAGTTCAGATATTTTGCTTCAGAAACAAAGCTCCTGCTCATAGCATAACAAGACCAGAAGAAAGGAGGTTTGCTTCTGTTAGGAAACTCAGAGGTGAACAATTAGGTAGGTATACCTGGCCTACTGCTTCTCAGGATTTTTACCATATATTATTCCAGTGATCCTTCTTTACATATTATTCCTCAACCAGATGACTTCCAAGCTGAATAAATCTCAGTTCTTTCTGCTTGTTCTAGAAGGCCCTATTTTCTGATTATTCTATTTGGCACTGTTTACTGCACTCTTAACACCATTTTTAAAAGGTGAATACAGCCCTAATTTGAAATCATATTTTATTGGAGATATGGTGTCAAAAAGATAAAAGCATCATAGCTAAATTAGGAAAGATTAGATTTTTATTACCCTTGCTGTATCAAACTTGAGAGGTTAATTGTTTCTAATGATGTATGAAGGTAATTTGTAATGAGAAAAGAATACAAAGTAGAATTTCTGTGTAAGGTTTTCAAGCTACACTTTAGAGTCACTTCATGGAATGGGAGATGTTGGAATATCTTGCCTCACGTGCATACTGTGAAGAAAGTACCTTAACTGAGAATCTTCTAGAACCTTGTTACTCCATGCAATCCAAGGATCAGCAGCATTGAAATCACCCTGGCAGCTCTTTAGACATGCAGAATATTAATTCATACCCAGGCCTATTGAATAAGAATCTTCATTTTAAAAAAAGGCCATAGCTGATTTATATGCATGTTAAAATTCAAGAAGCATTGGTGTCTCATTACTTGGAGATGCTCTTTGTCTGGCTTTTTTGTCCAGCAGTCCTGTCTGCTCTGTTTCTTGCTGTTCTAGAGTCCACAGAAAACTTCTGCTCATAATCAGCTCTGGTCATGGCTTTAAAACACTTCCATCTTTAAGTGCTTAGAATGACAAAATGCCTTTTAAAATCTTTGTCCTGTGAAATAATCAGTTCATCAGTTTCTCTCAGGTCTCCACTTATATATGTTGTTCTGCCTTCACTCTGGCCTGGACACTCACAGTCAGCCCTTACAGCAGTGCAGTGCTGCCATTCTAAAACTCTTTTCTTAATTTTTCTACTGCTTACTAGTTCTCAACTCTGCCATTTATGGTTAGCTTTACTGTCTTTCCTGCTAAAAATATCATGGAATTGTGCCAGTACTATGTTTGCCAGATTTCACTGCAGTTCACAATAATTTTAGTTGCTATCAATCAATGTAATGTGCTTCCTGTAGTGATCATTTCAAACTTTTCACTCTTCACATATCCAGATTTTACTCTTACTCCCTTCACTTACTATATTCTTATCTCTTCTCTCGCTCTAGGGAGATTGAAGACCACTGGATGTGAACTCTAACTTTTCTCCTTTCTACTTTAGAAGCATGTATTTTTTTTCTCATTGTTATATGTGAAGGAAAATACTTTTTTGCTTCATCTCTGTTCTTGTTTCATCAGTTATCTCCTTATTTTCATCTGATTTTTTCCCCATTTATTATCTTACTACTTCTTCCCAAAGAGACATGTTTATGAGTTCCTTAAACTAAAAATGACTGAACTTTTCCTAGACTTTAGCCCTTCTTATCTCTTCTCTTACCATCATACTTGAAAAGGTAGCTTACTCTGCATTGTGCTCTTTACTTCCTATATATTATTCACTCTTTAATCTAGTATTTCCTGATAGGAGGTATATGATTAGAATCCCCTGTGAAGCTAACATCAATTAAAAGCTACCCAGGCCCCTTATAAGACCTTTTGAATTAGGGCTTCTCAAACTTTTCTGATAAAGATCTCTCTAAATGCTTCTTAAATATGCAGATTACCAAACTTCTTTCCTGGACACTTGATTCAAGAAGTTTAGGTCTGAAATTATTTCATTTGTGCTTTTAGCAAGAGCTTCAGTACTTGATTAAATCGATATCTTGGAGTATGGGGTCTGGGCCAGTGTGATTTGAGTGCTTAAGAGGGAATTGTGAAGATGCATTTATGGGCAGTCATAGCTATCCAACTTCCATTTACATTATACTTTTGAAACTGTTCTTTCTAAGATTACCAGTGACTTAATTTTCAAATAAAAATTTATAACATTTTATTGTTTGTTATTTTAAGCATACAGAAGTTAAGGGGATAGTACAATAAATCCCTCAGGTACCTTTCCTCAGCTTTAATTATTATCAGCTTTGGTGAACTTTTTCGGTTGTTTTCTGCTGTTACCTATTTGCACCATATAACACGGTTGATCTATTAATTCATTCTTGAAACTTTGTTTTGCTAGATGATATTCTATAATCCTAGGTTTCTGCATTGAGTATTCCTTTTCTAACTGTCCCCAGGTACAGGCTTTTTCAGTAGGCTTTATTCTCAGCCATTTTTTTTTTTTTTCCTCATTCCTTCAGCTCTGCCCTGGGCTATCCTTTTTAAGACCTGGTTTCACTATTCACTCTGTGCAAGCAATTCACAAATCTAAATATCTTACTTTGAAGTCTTTCCTCTTCTGAGTTGCAAATTTATAGTTGCCCTTTAAACATTTAGACATCTTAGATTCTAATTATATATAGTATATACCTGCTTCTTTTCCCTATCTTAATTTACCCATTCTGCCAATGGTGTCACTTTTACCCTTTCGTTTCCTGGGCTATTAGAGTAGCGCAGTACTAATATTTTTTCTCTTGCTACAGCCACTCAACCTGCATCTTCCTACCTAGTGTATCTTAAAGTGTAGGACCAGTCTTATACTTCCCTGTTTTAATAACCTTCATTGCCTCTTTATTTCTTATATTATTAATATAGCCTTCTGATAGGTGCCAATTTATGAGACATAATCCAGATACATAATTATTTAGGTAAAATATTAAAGTTGTGAATGTTTAGTGAATTACACATTTATTTTTTTTAAAGTAAAACTAAGGCATGATACTTAATTTGTTTCTGATTTTCATTTGAGTTTTCAAGCATACTGATTTTCATTTGAATTTTTTAAAGAGAACTTGCAACAGTAGTGCATTGAATACTGATACAATTAAGTAGAACATAAATCTTCATCTGCTTTGTTTTATGGAGTATAAAGTACTGACTTCAGGAATATATATACCCACATTGGTATGAAATAGATACTCAAAAAATACTAAATAGATTTAATATAAGTTGAAGTTAAGTTTCAAATAGTATTTATTTTTCATGATATAGCAAATAAAAATTTCACTGATTAAAAAATAATTGCGCTCTTTTAAAAGCTTTTTTTTCATGTTTTTAGGGTGAGAATCCCTTTGAAATTCAAGATCATTCTCAAGATCAACAAATAGAAGGCGATGAGGAGGAAGAGGAAAAGATTGATGAACCCGTGGAAGAAGAGGAGGAAGAGGAGGAAGAGGAGGAGGAAGTGGGGGAGGTGGAGGAAGTGGGGGAAGTGGGGGAACGCGGAGGCGAGGAGGGAGTGGGGGACACCGAGGAAGGAGGGGACACAGAAGGAGAGGGCGGTGTGGGGGCCGAGGGGGAAGGAGAGGGAGACGGGGAGGGAGTAGGGGAGGGGGAGGGAGAAGAAGCAAAGGAGGAGCCTGTCAGCTTTTCTGTTGACCAAGCAGAAGAAAATTAAATATAAGGTATTAGTTTTAAAAGAAGCTTTAAATCTTTGTCCCAATGTGGAAAAGGGTAAGAATTTCAGTAGTTTAAAATACGAGAGTTAACACCCATGTTGCATGCATTCCACGCATTAACAATTTGTTTTATATAATTTCTAAATGTTTGGCATTTGTTTACTAAAATGAAGGTAAGACAATTTTAGTTTAGTTTTTATAGCTACCTAACTTAGTTTAGAGAAATTGTTTGTATAATTTTTAAGCTTAATTTTTATTACTTTATTGGTGTTGAGGATAACAGATGTGTATTGTTAGTATGTCTGTTCTAATCATTTGAACTTAAATGCTGCTCTTGGGAGTATATATTCAAGTGTGCATTAATGTTTTGAATACTTACCCTAGAAGAGATAAGTTGGGCAAGTATTTTGTGCTCTGTGTATTTTTTTACCGCATTGGACACTGAATATAGTAATTTGCGTAAAGATACGCTTAAAGGCTTTTTGTGACCATGTTTCCCTTTGTAGCAATAAAATGTTTTTTTACAAAATTTCTCTCCCTGGACTAGCCATTTAAAATGAAACAGAATTAATTGATCAAATGACTATATAAAATTGGAATTTGCCTTAATATATGAGTTCATCTTGGTATATGAGTGTTTTAAGATAATTAAATTGACTTGAATTAAAGAAATTATTTCACGTTTTTTAAAGTATGATTAAAATATTTTTAAACATATTTCAAATAGAGATCAGCCTGTAACTGACCTGTTTATACTTGTTTTAATTCACTCATTTTCTCTGTACCTGTGTCAGACCTTGAAATCTTCTTGGAAATACATTTGAATACAAATAATTTTTCATAGTGATGTTAATTCTTTCGTCATGCCTGCTTTTGGCTGAAGAACCAAGAAGCAAACGATCACTTTTTAAAAAAGAATTATTTCTCTCTTGAATATGTCTCTCCTTTTTATAGCTCATATGCTTCATACTCAGAAGATGAGATTGATAGATTATGTGCTCAGTCACTTCAGTCTCTTCAGTAATGTCTGACTTTTTGTGACCGCATGGACTCTAGCCCACCACGCTCCTTAGTCCATGGGATTCTCCAGGCCAGGATACTGGAGTGTTTGCTATTCCCTCCTCCGGGGAATCTTCCAGACCCGGTGATCAAACCCGGGTCTGCTGCATTGCGGGCATATTCTTTACCGCTGAGCCACTGGGGAAGGTAGAGTGGTTGTCTCTCTTCAGATGACTGTCTGTGTCGCTGAAAAAAGTACTGCTCTTACTTGAATCTTTACTCTGGTAAGAAATCTCTTGAGAGGGGGATTCTTCCAGTGAAATTAGCTTCTGAAAAATTTGAGGCATTGGATAGATGAACATATGGGTATGTAAGTAATTTTAAGGCATTAAGTGGGTGAGTATATGGGCATTTGTAGAATTTAACAGATAATTTCTTTTTTTGTGTACAACAGACTTCTAAAAATAGAATTTTTTTTAAGGTCAATTTGGGTTTATTGTAGTGGGCTAGATTAGCTTATCTTTAAGCTGGGATTGGGAGTCAAATAAGAAAAGGTTAGTTGAAGATCGGAGAAATATAGATCCTACCTAGGAGTCTCTATTTACTTAAAGAGACATCAGAGAGCCTTTGTGCTCAGAAGTTATAGGACTTGATAGATCTTCCTATTTCTCATTTATTTAAAATTTTGGGGGAATGATTAAGATAAAAGGAGACTAGATCTCTTTAGATCAGAATTGCAGCCAGTCCTCTGTATCCACAGGTTCTATATCTCCAGAGTCAACCCACTGCAAATCAAAAATATTTGGGAAAAGAAAATTCATAAACTTCTAAAAAGCAAAACTTGAATTTGTCAAACACTGGCAACAATTATGTGGCATTTACATTTTACATAACACTTTGTATTAGGTATTATAAGTAACCTAAAGATGATTTAAAGTGTAGGGGAAAATATGCATAAGTTATATGCAAATACTGTGTCCATTTTATGGCTTTCTAAGTGGTTCAGTGGTAAAGAACCCGCCTGCCAATACAGGAGATGTGGGTTCCATCCTTGAGTCTGGAGAAGGAAATGACCACCCATTCTAACATTCTTGCCTGGATACTCTGATGGACAGAGGAGCCTGGTGGGCTGCAGTCCATGGGGTCTCAAAAGAGTAGGACTTGACTTAGCAACTAAACAACAACAAAATGTCCACTCAGTATAAGGGACTTGAGCATCTGTGGATTTTGGTATCTCTGGGGGTCCTAGAACTAGAGGTTAACCTAGGTTAACCTAGGTTCTGGTCCACCAGATGACTGTGTTGGATTCTTTTGGCGCACTAGTAGAGTACTTTTTTTAAAAAAGGGGTCCCAGGTAATTTGATATGTGAAACTTTTGGAAAGATTTCTGTTTAACAAGAGTTTCTGTAACAACTTCTAAACGTTTTAGAATGAGAGATAAAGAACATCTAAGTAGTAATTTTTGTCAGAAACATGTAAAAACATGTATTCAGATTAGTTTATTTGCAAGGTATTAATAAAATACATTGTGTTGTGCTTAATTCAGAGATTTAAGTTTTGTATATCTTTTCAGATAATTTGTAGATAGGCAGTTTAGTTTGCAGGCAGATTAATTTTTGTGATTCTTAGTGTTTACATTTTCAATATTTTTGTGATACTACATAAATGTAATGCTTTAATACACTTTTAACTTCTGTTATCCAAATATTATTTGTTTTCTTTGTCAAAAGGCTAAACATGTAGTTCTATAACCAAAGAAATTTGTATACAACATACACAGTTTTTTAAACGAGATGCCTAGGGACTATCCTATAGTATTCTCTTTTTATCACTGTCTACTTCCAGTGTCCTTCTAATAAATATTCAGTGTTGTTTTCCTTTAGGACTGACTGGTTTGAATCCTTGCAGTCCAAGGGACTCTCAAGCATCTTCTCCAGCACTTCAATGAAAGCATCTCTCAGCATTCTTCACAGACCAACTCTCGCATCAGTATGTGCCTATTGGAAAAACCATAGCTTTCACTATATGGACCTTTGCTGGCAAAGTGCTATCTCTGTTTTTTAATATGCTGTCTAGGTTTGTCATAACTTTCCTTCCAAGGAGCATCTTTTAATTTCATGACTGCAGTCACTGTCTGCAGTGATTTTGGAGCCCAAGAAAATAAAGTCTGTTACTACTTCCAGTTTTCCCTCTTCTATTTGCCATGAAGTGATGGGACTGGATGCCATCATCTTAGTTTTTTGAATGCTGAGTTTCAAACCAGCCTTTTCACTTTCCTCTTTCACCCTCATTAAGAGGCTCTTTAGTTCCTCTTCACTTTCTACCATTAGAGTGGTATCATATGCGTATCTGAAGTTGATACTTTTCCTGGCAGTCTTGATTTCACCTTGTGATTCATCTTCTAGCCCAGCATTTTGTGTGATGCACTCTGCATTTGGACTTCCCTGGTGGCTCAGTGGTAAAGAATCTGCCTGCCAAAGCAGGAGATGCAGGTTCAATCCCTGGATCAGGAAGATCCCCTGTTGAAGGAAGTGACAACCCAGTCCAGTATTCTTGCCTGGGAAATCCCATGGACAGAGGAGCCTGGTGGGCTACAGTCCATGGGGTTGCAAAAGAGTCAAGCATGACTTAGTGACTAAACAATAGCCACCACCTCCAGTCTGCCAGGAGGTCTATGTTTTCTACTTCCTGAATTTGTCTGCTAACTCTTCACCTTAGCTGCTACCAACTCCAGTTCAAGTCACCATCATCTCCTTCCTGAACTATTGAAATAGCTTATTAACTAATCTTGCTTCCACTCTTACACAAAAGTATAATCTTTTAAAAATGTAATTCAGATAATGTTAGTTTCCTGGGGGCTTTTTTGGTACCTGTACAATCCAAACTCCTTATCATGGCAGTCAGGCCTTATTTAGCTCTCTGACTTCATATCATTCTTGCCACCAGCTCTGATGGCCTTTTTTTAGTTTTTTAATGAAACTTGCCTATCTTCAGAACTTTGCATTTTCTGGAACCTGTACCTGTCAGCTTTCATTAGTAGACGCTTCATCCTTAGGCTACCTTAAATGTTAGAAGAGGCTGCTCTGAGGAAAGATAAGGATAGTAGTTCTTAATTTTTGTAAAAGTGAGGATTTAGGGGCATCTGTGCCGCAGATGTCCTAGGTCATATTCTTGGGCAGTGGTGTCTTCTTAAGAGGTAGCCCAGGTGATTCTGTGGGTAGTCGTCATATTGCATTTGAGAATATTTGTACTGCCTTTACAGAAATTTTAGTGAATTTACTGAAACTCTCATATAAAAGCAGGGGCATTTGTCCTTTAATAAGCTGTTATAAGTTTGAGAGAGTCTCCATAATATTTTATGAAAGCATTTTTACAGACCTCCGGAGTCAGAAAAGGGTCTTGTTTTTGTTCTTTCTCCTCTTACTGAATTATTTCTTACAAGCATTTTGCAAAGTCATAATAATAGGAGGAGTAGTTTTTCCATATAACGAGGTTTCTCCTGTGTCATTCCCCTACTCAAAATCCTTCATTGGCTTTAGGTACCAGTCAGTGTAATTAATGTCCAGATCTTTTTAGGGTGGCATCTGTGGCTCTGTGTTTTGTTCCTCTTCTGCTTCTTCGGCCTTATACATCCGTCTTAACATATTTGTACTAACTGCCTCTTCCCATAAACATTTGAATTTATGATCCTACCTCAGGAGACAGGAGTGGTTCTCAGAGTAGCCAAGATTTGACTATAACCTGACTATATTATAGCATCTGGATATTCTATTTGTATTTTACAATATTACACTGTTGTAGAACATACTTATTTATATCTTATATTTTACAGTAGTATATAATCATGTAACATAGTCCTCTCTTAAGAATGAGGTTGAGGTAAAAATGAGAAAAGAACAGATATACCCATCTGAATGCAGAGTTCCAAAGACTAGCAAGGAGAGATAAGAAAGCCTTCCTAAGTGATCAGTGCAAAGAAATAGAGGAAAACAATAGAATG